TTCAAAAAAAAAAGTGAAAAAGAAAAAAAATCCCTGCAACACAGATGGCACATGTTCTTCTCAGCCAGAGACTCCCCTCCCAGGGTCCCAGGGACAGCAGCTCAGGCTCACACCAGTGGCAGGTTGGGACCAGAGCCTCTATGGACTTTCCAAGTGTATTTACTCATATTCCTGTGGGTCTCTGAGGGCCCTGCTGAAGTTCCCAGTTCCCTTGAGGAAGAAAAAAGCAGCCCCTGACATCTGGAACCCATCTGACTTCTGTTAGTGTTGCTACACTTCACTTCAGTGTTGCTACAGACTGGTCTGACATTCACAGCCGTGTCATTTTCTTATTGTGCGGGACACAAACAATCACAGAATACCAACCTCAGATAAGGTTACACTGAGACCATAATAGAACGAGACAAAATAAGGTCACTGTATAATTTAATCTAAGCACAAAAACAAGGTCACTGTGCTACCACCCACAACGTACCAAATGCACCCTCTTTTGGCTAAAATGAGTGACTACTGTTTTCTTATCAGTGTTACTGAGATGTAATTCACATACCATACCATTCATCCATTTAAAGCATACAATTCAGTGGCTTTTATTATATTCACAGAGTTGTGCAACCACTACCATGGCAAATTTAGAACATTTCCATTGCCCTCTCCCCAAAAAAATCCTGCACGCCTTAGTCATCACCTCCAAATGCTCCCACACTCTCACCCTAGGCAACCACTAATCTACTTTCTGTCTCTATACATTTGCCTCCTCTGCACATTTCAGATAAATAGAATTATACAATATGTGGTCTTTCGTGACTGTCTTCTCTGACTTAGCACCATGTTTTCAGGGTTCATCCCTGCTGTAGCATGTACCAGTAATTCACTCCTGTGATGACTAACTTTATGTCAACTTGACTGGGGCATATGTGTATGTACGTATGTATATATAGAGTCTATTGGTTCTGTGGCAGTATGTACCAAGCTTAGCCTTCATACCTTTGACCCCAGTAATTCCACTAAGAATGAATTAATTCCACTACTAAACCAAATCAAAATATACTAAATCAAAATGTACTAAGTAACCAAAGCAAAAGGATTTACTTAGCATCATGCTCCTAACAGAGTCATTTTAAAAACTAAGATAATTAGAAACAATCTAAGTATCTAATAGAGTAATGGCTAAATTGTGATACATTCCATATTAGGTCTGTGGTTGTATGTATGTAAAGAAAAACATTAAGAAGGAAAATACAGCAGAAGCATTGGGGTGGTGAGATTAGAGGTGATTATTAATTTTTTCACTTAATTCATTTACAAATGCAAATATAATCAAGCTTTATGTAATAAGAAAGCCTTTTCTCATTTTGTCTTAAAAACAAAATGCTGAAAATACAAAAGCAGAAGTTACAAATGCTCATACACAAGATATGGAAATCTCATACACTACTGGTAGAAATGTAAAATGGGACAGCCATTCTGAAAAAGTTTGACAGTTTCTTAAAAAGCTAAACATATACCAACCAGATGATCAGGCATTCCAGGCCTAAGTATTTATACCCAAGGGACAATCATTCACAGCAGCTTTATAGGTAACAGTTCTAAAGTGGAAGCAAACCCAAAGGTCTATCAGCAGGCAGATAAACAAACTGTGGCACATCCATGCAATGGAATAGTATTCAGAAAAAAAAAACTTTTGATATACACATCAACATAGACGAACCTCAAAATAATTATGCTGAATGAAAGAAACCAAAGAAAAAGAGAGCACATACTATGATAACATCTATTAAAAAAACTCTAGAAAATGCAAAGCAGTCAACAGTGACAGAAATCATATAACTGATTCCTTGGGAATGTGGAATGGGAAAAGGGACAAGGCACAATTACAAAGGACACTGAGGAACGTTTGGGGGTGAAGAATATATATGCTCACTCTCAAGTGCAGTGATGGTTTTGTGATGTATAATCACCAAAACTTATCAAATTACACACTTTAAATATGTGGTTTATTCTATGTGAGTTATATTTGAATAAGGCAGTTTTGAAAAAAGTCCTGTGATTGGCCCACCATCTATGGTCATCACTTTTATTAGCATTTTTTAATATGGTAGAATCATATCATGGATGAATTCAAATGAGGATTTGCAGGTAAAAAAATAAAAAAGAACCACTGGTTCCTGATTAACTGGGAAATATACCCAGAAGCTGCATGCAGAGTGAGTACCTGACTGTCTAGCCTGGGGAAGTGGAGAGGGCAAAGGAAAGAGGCTCTGGCATCAGACAGACCTGGGTCAGAAGGCTGGCTCAACCAGCGCTAGCTGGGTAGCATTAGACAAGTCACTGTACTCCTCTGAGATTTGTGTTCCACATACATAAAGTGGGGTGACACCACCCACACTGCACAGTTGTAAGAATAAAAAAGTGGCATCGGTAATAAGGGGCCAGTGCTGCCACACTGAGACAGTCCAGTTTAAAGGACTCCAGCTACTGTGACAGGTGCTGAAAAATTAAAACAGATTTGGTTCCCAGTTTCCATTAAGGCCAAAATAATCTGAAGTTCTAAAGATGTTTCTTTTTTAACATCAAAGGACTGAACAGCATGAAGGAAATTCTCTTCTTCCCTGTTCCCTGTCACTGACCCAGTGCACACGAGGCTCCTGGGGGCAACAATCTGCCTCTGGCTTCAGGGACTGGTCCTGACCCACACCCCCACAAATACGAAGTTTTCAGAGGAACCTGGTGCTCCTGGGCAGCCTCAGTGATTACACTGCCCAGAGGGTACACCCAGACTGAGCTGGGGGCACATTCATCAGAGCACTGCCTCAGGGAGATCTTGTGTGTGACTGACAGATGGTGGTCCTGCCCCACCACAGCTCAAGGCCCACTCACCCCGCGCAGACGGCAGGCAGCCCAGAGGCCCACAGGGAAGGGGATGCGAGCCGAGACAGGAGCACCCTCCAACCCTGCTTGGCAAAGCAAAAGCCTGCACTCCATAGCTTTCGGTTTGGATTATTTGTATCAATACAGCTAGGAATTTAGAGCCCTCTGCTTCTTCAAATGTGCTAGGTTAAGTGTTCTGGCATCTCCTCTAAGTTTTTAATTAATTTCACTTCCAGAGAATTATTATTTTTGTTGACAGCTTATTCTCTCAAATGGCACTGCATTTAGTAACATGCTTTTTTGTTGTTGCGACCTTTTCCAGATCTTACTCTAATATATCTAATTTAACTAAATTACTAAATCAACTACTAAAATTGACTCTAATTTACCAGGTGAGTAAATGTCCCAAAGCCCCACGTTTGGATATTATGGGCAACTAAGAAGGAACAGCAATGTGAGGGAGGCAGAACCCGAGTTCAGGGATGTGGGAGTGTTCGGGCCTCCAGACCCCCTAACTTTGCTTTCGGCACAACAGGGCCGCTTGCAAATGATTTCTTTTGAAAACCAGCCCTTCAAAACGGAGCGTGCAAGAGCGGTAAAAAGACTACCGAGGGTGTCAGCGACGGCGGTAATAAAGCAGCAGAGCCTGGGAGGCCTCCGCGCGGGGCGAGGAGAGAGATTTTAAAGGCGGACTTGCCCAGCCTTCGAGCCAAGGGCAGTGGAGACGGTGGGGACTCACGGGGCGCCCGCGGCCGGCTGCAGGTTGGACTTCGCGTTCCTCGCGCGGGCGTCAGCCGCGTTCCCCGCGCCGGTCTCTCTCCCGGCCCCAAACCGGAGCCAACCAGCGCTCGGCAACTCCGGCAGGGAAAACCAATCGATCTGTCCTGCTTTGTGCTCAAGACCTAGAAGCAGAACGCCGTGCACTCGGGGGGCAGCAGGTGCTGGGCCTGCCGGAGGGGGCCCCGTGCGAGGTTGGGGGACCTTCCCTGTGGTTGTCCCGTGGGTCGCTAGGAGGTCGGGATTCCCTGACGTGAAGGAGGCTGTCCTCCGACAGTTCAGGTCCTAGAAGAACACTATCCCAGGCTCTCCCGCTGCCTCGCCGCGTGGCTTGAAGCAAGTCGTTGATTGCCTCTGGTCTGTTACTCCACCATAAAAATGAACAAATGGGACAAAACAGTCTTTACAGTCCCGGTGTTATCCTGGCCCTGCAAGTGCAGAACCAGCGAGGTGTCTCAGGCTAATGTCAGTGGTCTTACCACAGCCACGGCCATGGGAAGCTTTCCAAGCAGTAACACGCACTACAGCCAGGCTTTCCCCAGTTCAGGACACCATCTCTGGGGAAACTGAGGCATGGGAAAAGGAAAAATGGAACTTGTTCATTGGCAAATACTGTGTTCCTTGTGTGTCTGGCACTGAGCTGGCCCTGGTGTCTAGGGAGAAAGAGGTGTGGTCCCCGTACCCCCAGTCAGCCAGCTAGGGGCCACACCTCCCCCACTGGGCTGCGAGCTCCCCAGGATGGGAGCCGTGTTCTCGTCAGGCTGCTGTTGTCAGGAAGGAGGATGGAGACTCCAGATCTCTGTAGGCTCCTTCCTCTGCAGTGTCCACGCTGGCTGCTCCACAGAGACGGATTAGCCTCCCCCGACTCCTCACCCACCTAACCTAGACCCCCATGGGCCTGGGCTACCCTTGGATGCCCAGCTCAGCTGCTGGCAATCTTCCACCCACAGATCTGTAAAGGAGCCAATGCAGACCAGAGGCTCCAGTGGCACCTCTGCACAGGAACTGCTTCCTGGCTGCCCAGCCCTGAGAGGAGCTTGGAAGTTTGCAGGGAGCCCTTCTCAGCACTCTGCAACAGCCAGAATGCATCCAGAACCTCTGCGCCTGTCTCCCCAGGCCTGCTACCCTGATGGGAATCTTTTGCAGAGGTTTGTCTTGAGATGATCAGACAGGCCATGCTCTGTTGAGTTTCAAAGCTCCACCAAGTAAAACTCCGGTAAGGCCAGGAGAGCCTGTGAGAGACAACAAAGTCAGATTGCCTGGGTTCAAATCCTGGCCTTTCCTCCCGTAACTGTGATCTGAGCTAGTGATTTAACTTCTAAACAGCCCCATCTGTGTACTGGGCATCATCAGAGCACATACCTCATAGATTATTGAAAGGATTAAACAATGCAAATAACTTGCTTGCATGATACCTAGCAGAGTCATATACCAAGTAGGCAGTAACTGGGAGCTATTAATATTCTGTTATGATTATATTCAGTAGGAGAATGGACCTTTCCAGGCCAGTCTCCAGCCTTTGAGAAGGTGGTTCTCCTCCCAGTGAGGGACGGGAGCAGCCTAGGGCCCTGAGGCTTATCCGAAGATGACACATGAAACATGCAAATAGACCACCAGGTGTGATTGATCTTAAGGGGCTATGGGTTACACCCAGACAGGGTCCCTCCGCTGCTGGTGGAGTAGTCAGTGGGATGTACTAGTTACAAGACCTCTGTGATCTGGCCTGTGGCTGCCTCTAAACCTCCCCAAACTCTGCCTTGAGCCAGAACCAATTTGGTGCCTCCAGTATCCCACAAGGGCCCAGCCTGTGCCACGAAGTGGCTCCCCTAGGAAGAGGCACCTTTTCCAAGCAACAGAAAGGCCACTTCACTCATCAAACCATTCGCAGGCTCTATGTTTGATGGGAGGGTGAGCCCCCCTACATAGACCACATGCCAAAAAAACACCACCAAAAACCCATAACCCTTGGCAGTCACTCCCATTTCTCCCCCAAAATGCCAGGCCCAGGCAATTGCTAATCTACTGTCTGTCTCTCTGGATTTGCCAATTCTGGACACTTTATGTAAATGGAATCATACAATAGGTAGTCTTTTATGACTGCTTTTTAGCTAAATGTTTTCAAGTTTCAGCCATGTTGTAGCCTATATCACAATTTTCTAACTTTTTATGACTGAGTAATATTCCACTATATGGACATACCACCTTTTACTTACTCATTCTTCAGTTGATGACCATTTGGATTATTTCTACTCTGTGGCTATTATGAATAAATCTGCTATGAACATTCATGTACATGTTTTCATGTGAACATGTTTTTACTTTTCTTGGGTATATAACTAGAAGTCGAATTGCTGGATCATGTGTTGATGTTATGATTAACCTTCTGAGGAACTGCCAGCATCTATGCTTCACCATATCACACTGATGGTGTACCTACACCTGGGCCTTGTGCTCTGCAGTGCGGTTTCTGCTAGTGTGAGCCCTTCATGCACCAGGCAGGGGCTGGACCAATCCAAGCTAAGCACCACCTGTCAGGGATAACCAATAGATTGATCCTGCTGTTCATCCAGACCTTGGAAATAGAGGTAGTTACACTTGATCAACACCTGGCCCAGGATTGGGAGACTAGGGCTAAGTTTGGGAAGTGTGTTTTCTGGCTATCTCCTGGGTCTCTATAAGATTGTACTTTCTGGATGTGGAAGGTGAGTTTCCCTGATACATTCCTGTCTTAGAAAAATCTGACATTGTTAGTTTGCAAGTTCAGAAGCTTACTGGATATAACCGAAACCAGCCCCCATATGACAGCAGGGAGAGACCAAATCAAGAGGTAGGCCACTCTGGATTGGTAGGTGGTAGGCTTAGTGAGAAAGGAATTTACATCAGAGGGTCCTCTTCTGCGGCCATAAGATGAGATCTCTGCACCTGCTGATGAGAATCTTAAAAGTTTATAGAGAAACCTTACCTGGGTTCAGTCATGTATACTGTCCAATGGTCTCAACAACAGGTGACTCTCCAAGGCTGTGTCCTTGGGCAGCTTCTAGTGCAGGGAAGGCAAGCAACCAAACACACATTCCAAGGACAGTGAAGGGGGTGAGGAGCCTCCAGTTGCCCAGGTCCAGCTCGAGGGTCAGTCGGTAATCAGGTCCTCTCAATGGCCTCCAACAGACATTGGCCTTCCCCTACCTTGCTGTATGATTTGGGAGAAAATAAAGCCCCATCTCTGGGTCTGTGGTCCTACCTGTAAAATAAACTCAGAATGCCCTGAGAGCCTGAGGATCTGCCCACCATGTCATTCTCATAACACCGCTGATACATCCTGCGACCAGATAAGCCTGGACTGGCGCCAGAGTCTGGGTCCTGGGGACACTCGTTTCATGCAGGGCCTCCCTGGGTGGCCCTGAGCCACTGCCCTGTGGGAACCCCTTTCCTCACTGCAGGCCACCCTCAGTGAGTAAGGCAAGACAAGGCTCATTCACTGGCAAGTATTTGTGGAGCTCCTAGCATGTACCCCTGGGTAGTATTGCTGTGGGAGAAGCCACCTGGTTTCCCACCTGAGGAATCTCAGTGCTTGGGGGTGGCAGACACTGATCGGGGCTGAAATGAGAGACCCACACAGAATGATGTCTGCCATAAGAGAAGGTAGCCTGCACCAGGGCCCGGAGCAGGGGAGATGCCAACAGTTGGAGGTCTTTTTATGTCTGAAGGGATGTATACAAGCTTGATAAGGAAAGGTGCTCCAAGTTTATGGAATAAAAAATTTCAGAAGATGGAAATAGCCACGAACCTGGACCTGCTGCCAGGGACTGCCTGTGGCATGGACATGGTCAGAGATGAGCTGGACAGGTGGGTGTGATGGGCCTTGAATTTGAGCTCTGGAGATCAGGCACTGTGTACAGATGGAGTCACGTTTAGTGGGAGCCCAGGGCCTCATCTTGGCCCAGGGAGAAGGGACAGGGAACTGTCCAGGGCGCCCACACCACCTGCCCTTGCCTTCCAAGGGCCATAAATTGCTGCCCACCTCAAGTGCCATTCTCTCTACTCTGGCCCCCTCAGCTCCTTGGTCACATTGGGACGGGGACGCCCCACAGCGTCCCCTGGCGGCACCCGGGAGAGGAAGGCTGCAGGGAGGCCCTGGCTGGGTGGGAGGAGGTTCCACTCCCAAAAGGCATGTAGAGGGCCATTTATGTGGTTCCTGAAAATAGTCCATAAAGCTCCGCGCTCCCATGAGGCCAGCGCAGCCGGACTGCTCTGCCTGCCTCCCCTGAAACAGCCCTTCCACACCTAAAAGACGCCCTTATCTTTCCGTTTACTCTGGGGCAGGAGGTAGAGGCTGCACACCTGGGCCTGCGGGTGCCCGAGGATACCAGCGGGCGCTGGAACCAGCGTCTCCCCTGGAACTGCTAGCAAACCGAAAGGCAGGAGGCTCGCGGGCGACCGGGCCTCCGTCTTCCTTCTCGGCTCCGCGGTCCGGAGCACCAGCCTCCCCGCTAACTCGGCTCCGGCCCCGGCTCTCGCCCCTCTCGCCTTCCCTCTCGCTCCTCTCCAGCCGTCCCCCGAGCCCGGGCTCCGAGCTCCACACAGCCTCTAGAGCTGGAGGGCCCCGAGCCCGGCCCTCCTGGCCCGCCCCTGCGCCTCGCTTCCAAGCATGAAGGTGGTGGTGGGAGAGTGGGGCTGTCACCGACCCTCCCGGGCTTCCACAGGCACCTCCAGGGTGCTGTCCACAGCGTGGTGCTGAAACTCCCAACGACCTCCGCTCCCTCCAGCAGCCGCATCCCGCATTGCAGCCTCCACTCAGGATCCGACCCCATCTCCAGGATGTGTTCACACTGGACCCAAAACCTGCATGGATCGTTGTCTGCCTCAACAGTTCAGACCGTCGCTGGTTTGAACTGGAAGCACAGAGGAGTTCCGACCTTGCCTACGGAGGCAGTGAGAACGTCCACAACCTGACAGATCCAGGAACCATGGGAGAGGTGGAAAAATTAGAATCCCATGCTCTGTCCTGGTGCTGCTAAGAATTTGCACATTATGGGCATAGTCCCTGCCTGCTCCAGACCTGTCCTGTGAATTATATGGGGAGATTGGGAAAGTGTCCCTGTTTCCAGGGACTCAACCCCCTTACAGCATCCAAGCTGCACAGGCTGTGAAACCTGTGAGGCAGGAGAGTAAAATCCCTAGAATTCCAACCATGCACCTTTCATGCATGAATATGCCCTCATTCGACTCTGGATGCCCCCAGCTCATATAGATGTCCCCAGCCTGTGCCTCCCAAGGTCTTGGCAAGAAGATTCCAGCTGTTCCCAATGCAGAGTACTGAAACTTCAGGTCCAGACTTTTGCCCCTTAGGGTATAGATGAAGAGGTTGCCCAATGAACTGAGCGTGATCATAATGATGGTGACGATGAGAAGCACCAAGAAGCCATATACAGCTCCTCAAAGCAGCAACTAGTTCAGAAAAGAGTTCCAGCAGGCACCATGACCAGCGAGAGGCCACCCTGTATGCCCCGTTCTGCTTTGGCTGTGCTCCTGCACAGTCTTGCAGTCTTGCAGGGCCACTGCCAGGGACTCCCTCATCTTTTTATGAGAAGCAGTGTGAGACACGAGAGAGGCCAGATAGTAGAGGCAGAAGTCTGCAGAGAAGGGCCAGAGGGTGCTGTCAATCCAAGCCACAGTGTGGCAAGCACCCAGCTGCTGGCACCCAGCACTGCCAGACAACACACCCAGGTAGTGACAGCACTCTGGCAGGTGGCACACAAGGCATAGGACCTCAGAGGCCCATGTGCCACACAGCAGGCTGTTTGGCAGTGCTGCCAGGAGCTGGCGGTGCTCTGGAGGCCCAGGGGTGGACCCACGAGTCTAACTCTGCCAGGCTAAGGGAGCCCCTTCCAGAGCAGGGGTGGCAGCAGCATGGCACCCGCACTTTAAGTTTCTAGTGAGGGAACTTTTTCCTGTGAAAAAGCAAAACCTGATCCAGTTGAGGGCTCCACCAAGGACTGCTGGTCCATGGGGTGTTCTCTTTGGCTCCATTGTCCAACTGCTTCCCAGCCAGTCCCAGGAGACTGCACGTCAGGGCTCCCCCTGCTACAAAATGACAATGCATATTCAAAATTCAAAATTGTTAAGAACTTCAAGTTGGTGAGAGCAGAACATTAAAATACAGCCCCTCTGTGACTACAGGTCCCTCTACCCATCCCACATACGTCTCACTAAATTCTAGCCACACTTCAGGGTTAGCTCTGGGGTTACTTGCTATGACAGAGCCACTGCTCTCCACGGTCCTCAGTTGCCATAAGGGAGGAGGCAAGGCAGATTGATCTAACCATCCCACATATACCGACGTGTAAGCCTTTAACAGGCAGAAGGTGAGTTACCTTCACAGCCTTGCTCACTCAATCTCAGCTTCCAGCTGCCACGCTGACACCTCCCTCCCTCCCTGGGGAATGGGGAAGCCAGGGCCACACCTGAAGGAAGTGGCTAGGGCTGGGTCTTTAGAAGACTCATTGACACATTTTCACTATCTTATCTAAGCAGCACCTAGGAGAGATATGATATCTAAGGGAGAGTAGTTTAGAGGTTAACAGGTTGCACCTGGTGGCAAGTGTCTGGGAGTCTCCTGAAGGTTCTGGGTGTCAGGCATGGGGGGATCTAAAGAGTTGTTTTTCAACTTTCTAAATGCTATTTTACTCATTAAATGGTACCATCCCCACAGCTGCAGAAGAAACATTAGGGCAGTATGGACTGATGTACAGTTGGACAGCAGAGGAAGAACTGAGCTGCAAAGGTCCCTAGACTGCCAGAAGAGCAGGGACAGCAGAAGTGCTGCTGTGCACACCCCAGATGGCACCCACATCCTTATACCCTCTCTACCCTGCAAATCTACACAGAAATACTGACACAGACTCACACACAGATTTCCTATATTACAGACACATCAGAGATCAAAGCATTAGAACCTCAGGCTCGGTTCTCCAGCTGGCCTCTGAGGGTCTCTTGGAGGGGGTCTCTCACAAAGCTCTTGCCTTAATCCTTACCCACCTCAAAACTACTCTCATGAACCAACAGTAGTTCTGCTCAATGAGGAGCTGGGACTCCTGGGTTCCTTCCCCAGCCTGTGGCAATGCCCCTCCAGTGGGAAGGTGTTCTCTGCAGTGTCATTTGCAATGGGAAGTAAGCTGATGACACACCTGGGTACACTATGGAACCACAAAATGACAGTTGCAAAGGCTGTGAGGTGACATGGACTCACGTTTACCTTGAAAAGTGAAGACTGAAAAGCAGGACACTAAGTTGTTCACTATGTCAACAGTGTTCTGCATATAGATAAAGACTGAAAAGCAAGACAGAAAAATTAACAAATGGGTTAAGGTAAAGTAGGTGACTATTTTCCTAAAAATCTGTCAAATTGTAAAATGGTTGCCTCTGGGAGATACCATTATTGGTACTTTGGCCCCTGCTTCTTTCCACTCTATTGTATTCTACATGTATTCTATAATGAGTAGATACTGTCTGGATAATCAGATGAAAAGAAGTTAAAACACACACACACACACACACACACACACACACACACACACACACACACACACACACACACACCTGAGTGAGCCTGTTCTCTTCATGTTCCCACAGTATTAAAGAGGAGGCAATGGTCCCTTTTCCCCCAAGCCTGCCTTTTTCTCCCCACCAGGTTCCAACCTCATCACCCTCTTTAGGGGTCCTTCCACCACAAAACCAGAATGTAAACGAACACACTTGGAAAGTCCACAGAAACTCGGCCCCCAGCTCCTGCTGGTGTGAGCCTGGGCCCCTGTGGCTGAGACGCTGAGAGGGAGGGGGCAGCCAGGGGCGGGTGTTCCTGAACTCTCTGCAGGGCGGGAACAGATCATATGTCATCTCCATTGCTGGATTATCCCACACTTCTTATGCTGTTATTATTTCAAAATGTTCAGGGTACAGAAGTTTCCACCTACCCATTCTAAGGAGGCCCCTACCCTGCCCCCATGACAGCCCCCATCTCTCTCTTTGTTGCCCTCTTTCTGCTTCTCCAGGATTCTCTCTACAGACCAGAAAAATAAGGTAAGTTTGAAGATGAGGGAAATTGCTTCCACAGATGCTGGCAGAAAGGAAGCTTTCTTGTCTTTGCTAGAATATGGCATGATCCAGGCTGGGGAGTGGTGGCACCCAGGCTATTGATTAAACCTTGTTCTGCACACGGTTTAATCTCAACATCAAGGAACATGAAAGCTGGAGTCTCCGTGAACTTTTCCCTGAATCATCTGCTAATCAAAGGCACTCTGAGGATGGAGAAAGCAAGGGGAGATGAGGCTGGCAGTCCCAGTGGGAGGGAGGTGTGTGCATGTCTTAGGGGGACGAGAATGCATGGAAAGAGCATGGGGGTGGGCAGGAGGCTAGGGTTCAAATCCCAGCTCCCCTCTTTTCATGCTGGGCAACTCTGGTGGTCATTTCTTCTTCTTCTGTAACTCAAAGAAGTAGTTGAGAATCCCTGGCTCTTTCTAGGGTAGGGGCCCTCTCTGAGGATACTTCCTGGCCTATAAATCAGGATCTTGATATTCACCCCTCATCAAAGAAAAGATCAGTCCAACCTTCTAATCCCAACAAACAAGACCTAACACCTCTCCAGTCCCGTCTTAGAGTCTCACCTCTCACTGGATGCTTGTTTGTGAGTGAGAGCAATAATACCATCTTGTCAAATTCAGCTGACTGTTGAATCACCTTTACACTCCCTTTCTCTGACACCCAAGTACTCCTGAGATAACATCCAGAGAGAAACAATTAACATTGTTCCCTGGGGCAAGATTCCTCACCCCATTCAGCAATAACACTCCAAGGTCAGCCCCTGTCCCATTGCACATGAAGTGGTTGCCCTGTCCTGCGTAGACCCTTCCCCTTGGGGGGATCTAAAGAGTTGTTTTTCAACTTTCTAAATGCTATTTTACTCATTAAATGGTACCATCCCCACAGCTGCAGAAGAAACATTAGGGCAGTATGGACTGATGTACAGTTGGACAGCAGAGGAAGAACTGAGCTGCAAAGGTCCCTAGACTGCCAGAAGAGCAGGGACAGCAGAAGTGCTGCTGTGCACACCTCAGATGGCACCCACATCCTTATACCCTCTCTACCCTGCAAATCTACACAGAAATACTGACACAGACTCACACACAGATTTCCTATATTACAGACACATCAGAGATCAAAGCATTAGAACCTCAGGCTCGGTTCTCCAGCTGGCCTCTGAGGGTCTCTTGGAGGGGGTCTCTCACAAAGCTCTTGCCTTAATCCTTACCCACCTCAAAACTACTCTCATGAACC